TATATATATATATACAGTATATTTAGATAATATTATTGTACATAATATTGTATTACTTATTATATTTAGCCTTTTGTTTCTATAAAAGATGCTAGTAAATAGATATGTAGCCCACATTATATGATAGCTTAGTGAGAGAATGAGATGTAACTAGATGTTTATCTGTGCTGAGTAGAATATAAGAGGAGAAAACACTAACAGATTTTAGGAGAAGTACTTTCTCAGAAGTGTGATATGGAGCAACTTCCAGTTCTCCTTGTGATCTTTGTGTGTTCTATTCTTTCTCTACCAACCCTATGTGCAGGTAAGCATGTCTAAGTACCACTTTTTTTACATGGTTTATAGGACTTAGCATTTCTTCCCCCCAGCATCAGTGCACTACTTGTATTCTGCAAGTTTGACTTTTTTATTCACTGGTTTGGCCAATATATTAATATATATTGCAGTTTACCAATCCTTACATGTAGTGGCTGCTTCATTTTCTTTTTTTTAGCCTTTCTATGCTTTATTTTCACCTGGTGATCTGACCAGCAACACATTTTCTGTCTTAGGGTGGCTCCACCCTATGGAGAAGCAACGAAGCCGCCCTTGGACAGCAGCATTGTCACCCTGTGGAGAGGGTAGTGTTAGATGGACATTTACAGGTGAAACTCGAATAATTAGAATATTGTGCAAAAGTAATTGCAGTAAGTGCTGCAAAAGGGGCCCAAACCAAGTACTGAGTACATATGCATGCTTGTACTTTTCAGAGGTCCGATATTGTTCTATGTACAATCCTTGTTTTATTGATTGCATGTAATAATCTACTTTTTTGAGGTTGTGGATTTGGGGTTCTAGGGGTTTTCATGAGCGGTAATCCATAATCATCACAATTATGACAAATCACAGCTTGAACTATCTTGCTTTGCATGTAATGAGTCTATCTCATATATTAGTTTCACCTATTAAGTTGCATTAGTGAAATAAATGAACTTTGCACGATATTCTAATTATTCGAGTTTCACCTGTAGATGGACTTTACTAACAAATTAAATCAGACCTCCAGCTAACACGTTTTAAGCAGATACAGAAACTGTTTTTTTCCTTTTGGGATAAAGGTTTTCCATAAAAGAATAAAAAGTGATCATTGTAAGCACCTCTGTCAGTATTAAATGGGTTGTCTCAACCCTCTATCTGCCACATTTGCTGGACAGCTTGGGAGCTGAAAAATAAGAGACTTACTTTCTTGATCACCAGGTGAAAAAAAAGCAAAATGTACCACCCGTCTTGAACTTTATCCACAGTCCTGCACATCTAGTTAACAACTCATAATGAAGTTTGCCAGCACAGTACACCAGGGTTAATTATGGCAAACACAACTCCCCAACCCCGTGATAAACATTACAAACAAAGGGAGAACTAAAAAGGATTTTCAGCCCAGAGTTTTCAGAAAAGAGCATCTAAAAATGTAAGCAGCCATTTTTGATCTTCTTTCTTCTGGGTTATGCGGTATGAATGGGAACATGTAACAAATATAAAGTGTGTGTTATCTCAGTTAGCCTGCAAAAGTGAAAATACACTTTAACAAGACTTAAAAAAATATGTGTAAAGACAAAACATTTTATGTTTATTTGCAGGGAAACCCCGCTATGGGATTATTGGAGGTAATGAGACAGAACCACATTCACGGCCTTACATGGCATACTTAGACATTGGTCAGTACTCTTGTGGAGGCTCTCTCATTGCTAAAGACTGGGTATTGTCTGCTGCCCACTGTCATGGGTAAGTGACCAGATACTATCTTAGCATCATTATCTAGTGTAAAATAAATGGGATTCAAATGCTTGTATGGAAAGCAACTTATGGGGGCATATTTATAAGGCAGCAAATTTGACATTCATACCATATTCACTGCAGGCGAATACATTTATTTAGTTGCTAATTAAATTCTTTTTTGACATCTTGCTGCCGGCCAGCGGCTAGATTCCGCGGTCGGCAGCAGAATATAAGCAATGAGGAGCAATAGGCAGTCTGCTATTTGCTATCAAATTGCAATAGCTTAACTCTCAAGCAACCCAAAACTACAGTTAGCGGCACCTACCGGTCTACGTGGGTGCAAGATAACAGGGAGTTTACTGTATTGGTCAAATTAAGAAAATAAAGTTAAAAAAATGTATTGACAGCACTGCATTTCAGTTGCTGTGCGTTAAGAAAAAAATCTTGCTTGCTGCATCCTGCTTGTGGTTTTTTTCATTAAAACGTTTAGTCCTTCAGTAAGGATGATCGTATAACATGTGTAAAATGTGTCTTAAAAGCACTGCACGAAACTATTCCACATAAAAAATTAAGATGAATAAATGTAACCTAATGGTTTTAATTCATGTTTAATTTTTATTACATTTACATGTTTTGTTTCTGATGCTTTTTATCTGTTTTTACTATTTAAATAAAATGTTTCTTTTATAAATAGAAATATGAGGATTAATATAAGGATAGACAGGAGGAGCCTAAAGCTCCAAACACCTAATATTTATATATAATTCTTCATTTTTTTATGTTATTTTTTGGCCCTGACCATAATAAATACATACATACATAAATAAAATATATGCAAACTACTATACATTCTTTTTAAGACTTGTTATATATTCCTGTTTCTGCCATCTCAACAAGAAAGGAACCTTATTACATTTTATTCACCCCACTGGTGGCTTTGTCTGTACAGGGAAATCACAGTTATCCTTGGAGCCCATGATGTGACTGAAGCTGAAAATAGTCAACAGATTTTGGGTGTGGAAAGCTATTATGTTCACCCAGAGTATGACCCAGAAATGATAAATAATGATATAATGTTGTTAAAGGTGAGAAGAAAACTTTCTATTTCCTACTCTCAAAAAAACAACAGTTTAATCCAGATATACCATGTATACGTTTACATTAATAAGAACTCTCTGAAACTGTTTAGCATTTAGCACAAATATATATTTTTTTGGTACCATTGCTATATCTGTTTTTGAATGGTTATCTACTAGACATGTGCACTGCCAAAAAATTAGTTTAGTTTCGTTTAGTTTTAAATTCGGATTTGTGTTATTTCGTTTTTAGGGATTAGTGTGTTAAAAGTCAATTCGGATTCGGACGAAATTCGGTAGCGGTAGTTCGAACGTTCGTTTCGTTTTCTGTTCGTATTCGTTTCTTATTCGTTCCGTTCGTTTGCAGCAAAAGTGACATTTGAGGGGGAAACAATATTTTTCTCCTTCTCTAATGTCACTTTGCTCCAACGAACGAAACGAATAAGAAACGAATAAGAACAGAAAACGAAACGAACGTTCGAAGTACCACTACCGAATTTCGGAAATGGAAATTCGGATTCGTTTGCATTCGTTATGTCTGTAATTCGGAATTCGGATACATCTGAATGTCCGAATTTCCGAAAATTCTTCCGAATTTCGATTCGGAACGAAACGAATCGCACATGTCTATTATGTACAATGACTTGTTATAATCCTTTTTAACTGTATGAAAGAACAGGGATAATACACAGTATGTACAGAAATAAGACTAACAGGGTTATTCACAAAAGGGTGAAGGGTTTGGAGAAGGAAGGAGAAGTGAACAATCTAGGACAACATAGCTGAACTGGAAAGTGAGCTGAATTGCAGAATTTTTCCAAATCCGCTATGTTAGCCTCGCTTGTTCACTTCTGCTGTATTATCCAAACTCTTCACCCTTCTGTGAATAACCCTGTAGGTATGAAAGTGTCTCTAAAAACCAAAAGCAAAAATGTAATCTATTGCAGATTACCAGTTCTTAAAGGTGGTGGCTGCATTAGTTTTCTTTTTTCGTGTTTTTTCTCCTGTTTTTCACCCGGGAATCTGGCCCGTAAGTCTGTTATTTTAAAACTTCCTTTAACAGACTAAGCTGTCCAACATATCCGGCAATTAGAAGGTTGAGATAAATCATTTAACACTGATATTCTCGGCCAGCTTCGGCTTTCAGCACGGCTCAGCGCTCGACTGAGCTGCTCGGACGTGATCGGGAGCTGTACGGGCTATTGTGAATAGCCTGTACAGCACCCCCTCGGTTCTCCTGAACCGAAGGGGTCCTGGGGCCGAAGCCAGCCGAAGGATCGGCCGAAGCTACGGCCAGATCCTTCGGCAGCTTTGTGAATAGACCCCTATGTCAGTGTAGTAAGTGGATAACACTACTCTAATATGCTTGCATTTGATCCAGACAGTTATGAAAAAACCTTTTTTTTAATGTATTTTTTTTTACGTTTGTCTCTATAGCCTTCATTTTCCTCCTACATCCTCCAACAGCCAATGCTGTCCTTCATTAAGGGGGAAGGTACAAGTACTTCATAGTGGTAGCATAGTTGCCAACATTTAGAAATAATTAAGAGGGACACCTTAAAGTATCAAAAAAGAAAAAAGCACACACATATGAGGGCATGGTCAAAAGTGACAAATAAAATGGGGGAGACTTCACGGTCTATAGCTTGTACTATTGTGTCTTTCTCTTGTTGCTTTTCTAGGTTTTACACAAAATAGGGTTGGCTTACACTGAAGAGAAAGTGGGAGTAAAAAATATCAACATAGGTGACAGTGGGAGTATAATAGGTCCCATCTTTGGTGTCAGTGGTATAAAACAAGTCCGATCCTTGGTGTCAGTTGGAGTAAAATAAGTCCAATTGTTTGTGTCTGTGGAATAAAATAAACTCAGTATCTTTGTTGCCAGTAAGAGTAACATAAGCGCTTTCTTTTGTTGGAGTCAGTGGGAGTAAACAAGACCCGTTTTTGGTGTCAGTGGGATAAAACAAGCCCCATCACTGGTGTCAGTGGGATTAAAATAAGCCCCATCATTGGTGTCAGTGGGATAAGGCAAACCCAATCTTTGGTGTCAGTTGGAGTAAAATAAGCCCCATCTTTGGGGTCAGTAGGATAAGATAAGCCCAATCTTTGGTGTCAGTTGAAGTAAAACAAACCCTGTTTTTGGTGTCAGTGAGATGAGACAAGCCCAATCTTTGGTGTTAGTGGGAGTAAAACAAGCCCCATCTTTGCTGTCAGTGTGATAAAACAAGCCCCATCACTGGTGTCAGTGGGAGTATAATAAGCCCCATCACTGGTGTCAGTGGGATAAGACAAGCCCAATCTTTGGTGTTAGTGGGAGTAAAACAAGCCCCATCTTTGGTGTCAGTGGGATAAGACAAGCCCAATCCTTGGTGTTAGTGGGAGTAAAATAAGCCCCATCTTTGGTGTCAGCGGTATAAGACAAGCCCCATCTTTGGTGTTAGTGGGAGTAAAACAAGCCCCATCTTTAGTGTCAGTGGGGTAAAATAAGCCCCATGTTTGGTGTCAGTGGGAGGAGAATAAGCCCCATCTTTGCTGTCAGTAGGATAAAACAAGCCCCATCATTGATGTCAATGGGAGGAGAATAAGTTGCATATTGTTTATATCAGTGGTAGCAAAATAAACCTCAAATCATTGGTATCAGTAGGAGCAAGAATATGTATTGGTGTTCAGTGGTTACTTACCTATTCACGTGCTCCCGTACTGCTCTGCCTCTCCTGATCTGAAGTAAGTAATAACTATGAGGCAGAGCGTTCCAACACTTGGCGCCCCCTACAACTCTATGAAGTGCCAAGTGTCTTGGATTCTGCAGCCTGTGGGCCGTTAACTCTGCAGGGCCAAATCCAATATTCCAGGATTTTCCAGCAGGATCCAGAACACTTGATAACTATATGGTTAGGTGTTGTTGACCCTTCATATAGGGGATACCCATACATCAAAAGAAGCGGCACCAGTGTTCCCATAAAACATCGTAGTCAAGAAGAGAGTTAATGAGAAGAGAAGGTGACAATGCTGCTGGTTTTTGAGATGCAACCGAACAGGAATAATTTCAGGGCTGACAGGTAAGAAGTACTACGATGAAACGGCGGTGAACTAGAAAATGAAAAAGTAATAATTGAGAAATGCACTATTGACATTGAAATATAATTTGTACTTAGAGGTAAACTTTAAAAACTTTGGAAACAGGAATAACAGGCACATTATTGAAGCACAGTGCATATTTCTGTCACATACTGACTTTGTCCATTTGTGATGTTTGCAGTTGGCCATAAGGGATGTACTTACGTATTGTTCTTTTTACCAATCTATTTCATTCTTATTCCCATCAGCTCATAACCCCGGCCCAGATAAATCGCTATGTGCAGCCGATTATGCTTCCATCCAGTACCAGTGACCTTCCAAAAAACGTCCTCTGCAGCGTTGCTGGGTGGGGACTGATTGACAAGATCCATGCTACTGACAAATTATTTGAGACCAATGTGACTATTGTAAGCAGAAGAGACTGCCACCGCTATTATCACCACTTGACTAATGGGATGATCTGCGCAGGGGACGTCAGAAAGATCACAGACTCTAGCCAGGTAATGTACTGAAATCTTTTCAAGTTAAAAGAGAAGGACAGAAACACTCAAATTGTGGTAACACACGCTTTACTGCAATGTGTTTGCCATGTAGAATACTTACACCAACCGGCATTGTATGCTACTGCAATCATTCTGAATGTGCTTCCAACACACTTTGAGCCAGGCTGCCATAAATGCAACATGCACCTTTTTTATTGCGTTTTGGTGGATTATTATTATACAGGATTTATTTAGTGCTAACAGTTTGTGCGGCGCTTTACAGTATAAGGAAGACATAATAGTTACAATACAATATTTTTGTGATTTCTGCAGCCAGCAGTGGGCTGCAGTCAGCCTAACTGTACCACAGCAAGGGTGATTTTCTAAGCATAGAATTTATTTTCTCTGTCACATGTTGTTTGATCTTACTCCAGCAGGGTGTGCTAGAGAAGTATAATTTCGTGTTATGGATGTTTGATGACCTAGCTAATCAGAAGGCTTGGGGAACCTGTTGATGCATGCTTGGAGAACCATTAAATATCTTATTCTTCCTGTTCTCTGTGTCATCCTCATGGGCATTTGACCTTTAAATATGTAATCTTGAAAGATTTAGGTCTCCTCCCAGGCCTTGGGCTGAGGGTTGGGAGGAAATAAAGATCTCTCCTCCTCAGAGAAAACCCTGAATATGCTGGTTGCTGGAGACAAGAGTGTAAGATGAAAGACTGGATGAAACAAGCTGTTACTGTCCCCCACATATGGAGATGTGGTGAGTGACTGGTTGAGTTGCCAATGAGCCAGAGCTCTGCAAGAGTGCAGCCAGCATAGTATGTGTTTAGAGAAAATAAAAGAGACTTTAGGAGAGATTCAGAGAGATTAAGACCTAGTCTAAAGTCTGTATTTTGGGGTATATCCGGACACACACTTCACCCTCCTTCCCATATTGCCTTGTTTTCTATTTTAAAACTTACTGGCACCTATTTCTGTACATGCTGAGCAAAGAACCACACATGAGATTGAATGCTTCTGGGACTATTGCCATGTAAGTGGACATTCTCAGTGTAGCTATTGATGAGCTGAGGATTAATATTTAGTCACATCTATTGAAAACCACTAACAATAGCGTTAGATTTTGAGTAGCCTAAGTCCACTTGAACGCTATACTTTAAGAATCACTCCTATAGAAATACAGCTATATTTATGAACAGAACCTGAAAACTAGCTCAGTCATGAAGGGGTTAAAAGACTTGATATTCCGAGGCGTGAAGTCTATCTTTGCAAGCTTCCAATTCAGGCTGTTGAATTATCCCATGTCCCAAACAGGAACTGTTCAATGGGTGCATGTTAACACAGTTAGCATGTAAGAACTGTGGTTGTGTTCCTCCCTCTCTAAATATGAACAATGTACAGCATGTACAGGTGTGGCGGATTTACATACTAAGTTGATAGATTAACTAGAAATACATTTTAAGGTTGTCTGTAAATACGGTCAATGAACTTGTCTCTTCTGTTTTGTTTTCTGTTAAATATACCATTGAAAGCATTTTGTTATGTCAATTCAACAAGTGCACAAAAGGTGTTGATTATGTCAGAAATATTAATTATGTCAGACATTCAGAGCTGTCCTGTGTCTTGTGCACACTTCCTGTGAGACTTCAAGTAGTCTAATTGGTCCTCCTAGGTGTAATCTAAAAAAAAATAGGTCACTAGGGAGACATTTTTTTCACTGATTTTGCACCAGCGAGTTGAGCTAAACAGAACACATATGATGGTAGCTTCTGTAAAGATCAGCAACGGAAAGGTATCTGCATGTACAATTACTTTTCTACATGTCATACATTTAAACCTGAGTGCTACTTTAAAGGAAAAAAAGCAATCATGCCTTGGTTGCTGTATAGTCTGTTCCAGCCTGCTCTCTTCGCATCCCTATTGGGAAGAGTGTGATGGGGTAAAAAGAGAGACAAAGGGAACTGAAAGGGGAAGACTACTTAGCAACCAGGAAGAAATTAATCCACTCACTAAAACACCAGTCTGATAAGCCTGCTGTGCTCCTAGATGTAAAACCACCTTCAGTAGCTATGGAGCCTGTAACATTTATCTTGATTTCATTCACCTAATGTTATTTCTCTACTCTTTATGTAGGGAGATTCTGGAGGACCTCTTGTTTGTAGAGGGGTTCAGGAAGGTATAGTGTCTTTTGGATTCAATCATCCCCCTGGTGTCTATACAAGAGTTGGCAATTACTTGGATTGGATTAAACAGACCATATCTGAACATGAAGACCCAAAATTCTGAACAATGCTCTTTGTGCTCGAATGGCCACATTTGTTTTCCTTTAACAAATCTCTAATTATCATGGTAATTAAATATCTATGTGATCAAACAAATTGTTACTCATATATTAGCTTTAGGACTGAAATTTAATGGAGTCATGATTGATAAAATGTTTGATCAAATGATTACAGTCATGATTAATAAACATTTTAAGCAGCATGATATGCTTATATTATGTCCAGAACCAACCTCACTTTAATAAAGAGACTAAAAGCTAAGGATGAGGTCACAAAGAAATTATACATTTTCTAGAGTTTTCTGTTTGATAAGTGTTTTCGCTCTCTTTAATCTTCAAATAGCAATATGGTTGCCTCCAAGATGTGAAGTTTTGTGTATTCTAGCTTCTCCTTTTGGGTTCGTCATAATAAAAAAAACGAATAAATTATCCAACAGAGAAAGAGAGAACACCTTAGAGTGGCCATAATAGGAATGCAGGCTGAGGGATTTAAGCACAACGTTCTCTACAGCGCAGTGCCTTTAGTGACAGAAGAAACTGCTAAGCTGTTTATCTCTTCACCATCTAACAAAAACTCAAATGTCATTTTTGGGTGGACCGGCCCTTTAAAGGAAAAGTACTGGGAGAGAAAAATATACTCTTCAAAATACTTAGACCTGGTGTGAGACACTGCTGTGTCACACGCAGGCTGAGAGCTGAGTGTTCACAAACTGCTGATTGCTCAGCTCAAGGCTTCTCCCTGCAGAGAGTAGTGACTGTCAGTTACTGCAGGGATTCTCCCTCCCTTCTTTGTTCCTTCAGCACTCATTGGAGGGATAGACAGGGAAGGGGAGGGCACAGCTGGTTTTGGCTCTAGAAAGGCAGAGCCAGCTGTCAGTCGGGTAGCGGGAGTGGATCCTGAAAATATACATGCTTATATATGCTGAGTTTGGGTCACAGGAGTTTGGAGTATATTAGTGTGTTTGTGTGTGTGTGTATACACACACACACACACACACACACACACACACACACACACAGTTAGGCCTGGAAATAATTGGACATTGACACAAGTTTTGTTATTTTGGCTGTTTACCAACATAAATTCAAGTTACAGTTAATGAAAAAATATAGGCTCAATGTGCAGTCTCTCAGCTTTAAGTTGAGGTTATACACATCCATATTGGAGGAAGGGTTAAGGACCTGTTCACATGAGTTTCAGGTCCTCAACAGGTGCAGATCAGCAGATGCGGTGCTATGTGTTTTGCCGCGTTTTTGATGCGTTTTAATAAAAAAAAAAAGATTTTTTTTTTTTGCTGCAGTGGGGCTGTCAGTATGTTAGCTGCAGTGCAGTGCATTTGTGACGCGTTCTTGACGTACAAAATGTGACATGCAGTATTTTTCTGTCGTAACCTGAACGGACTGCGCACGTGAGAACTGTAGCCCATAAAACACATAGGGATACATTGGGATGCATTTTTAGTGCAGGAGCGTACGGATCAGGTCAGCACAGAAAACGGATGTCGTGTGAACAGGCCTTAAGGAATTAATATGTAGCCCCCTCTTTTTCAAGGGACCAAGAGTAATTGGACAATTGACTCAAAAGCTGTTTCATGGGACAGGTGTGGTCTATTCCTTCGTTATTTCATCATCAATTAAGCAGGTAAAAGATCTGAAGTTGATTCCAGGTGTGGCATTAGCATTTGGAAGCTCTTGCAGTGAACCCACAACATGCGTTCCGAGGAGCTCTCAGTGCAAGTCAAACAGGCCATCCTTAAGGTGCCCATACACCTTACGATTATCGTACGATAATTGTATGCGATTGACTTTTCGTACGACAATCATAACGTGTGAATAGAGTGCCCGACCGATAGTACTGTACAATCGTACGACTTTTGACGGTTAAGCATGTTTGAAAACTTTGGTCGATCGTACGATGTTTGCATGGTTGGTGGCGTTTCCGTCCGTCAAAAGTCGTACGATTAACACTGCGCATGCGCAAACGAAAATAAATGCGGTCAATTACCGCAAGTCGTCCAGGTGTTTTTTTTTTTAACTACAGCTGATTGAACCTTTTGATAATCGGGGCAGGATGGGGCCGTCGTCCGAAAATCGTACGACGGTTCGATCATCGGACGAAAAGTTTTATCCGATAATCGTAAGGTGTATGGGCACCTTTAGGCTGCAAAAAAGAAAAAAAAAGAAATTTATCAGAGAGATAGCAGGAACCTTATATGAGAGTTTGGTACATTTTGAGAACAAAAGGGCACTGGTGAGCTCTTCAACATAAAAAGGCCTGGTCCTCCATGGAAAACAACAGTGGTGGATAATCCTAAGATCCTTTCCAACCCCTTCACAACATCCAGCCAAGTGAAGAACACTCTTTAGGTGGTACGCATATCATTATCCAAGTCTACCATAAAGAGAAGACTGCGCAAGAGTAAATACAGGGGGTTCACCACAAGGTGCAAAACCATTCATACGCCTCCAGAATAGAAAGGCCAGATTAGTCTTTGCCAACACATATCTAAAAAAGCCAGCCCAGTTCTGGAACAGCATTCTTTGGACAGATGAAACTAAGATCAACCTGTACCAGAATGATGGTGAGAAAAAAGTATGGCGAAGGTTTGGAATGGCTCATGATCCGAAGCATGCCACATCATCTGTACAACACAGTGGAGGCAGTGTGATGGCATGGGCATGCATGGCTTCCAACGGCACTGGGTCAATAGTGTTTATTGATGATCTGACAGAAGACAGAAGGATGAATTCTGAAATATAATGGGATATATTGTCTGGTCAGATTCAGCCAAATTCAGCAAAGTTGATTGGACAGTGCTTCACTTTACATATGAACAATGACCCAAAACGAGTGGAATATTCTGCAATGGCCGAGTAATTCACCTAAACTCGACCGAATTGAGCATGCATTTCATTTGCTAAAGACAAAACTTAAGGCAGATAATTCAGATCTATGTAGCTGTTGTATATGTGGTTTACTTTATAGTAGATCCTAACTCTTACTGGGTGACATTTAGTTTACTAAAACACTGTTTTGTTTTTTTCATAAAATACTGTTTCTACCTTTTTTTCGCCCTTTGTTGTATCGCAGGGTTGCTGGCCTCCTACAACCTCTTTTAGCAACATCTTGTATACATTCACTTGCTCCAGCATTAAGCTGCACAACATTACTCAAAACCAGCTTCCTAATAGTGACAATAGTGGACTCTGGTTGCAGCGTGTGTTAGCATGGCTGCTTGTAGCCTTCATCAGGGGTGCATGTGACAGGGTGACAACACAGGAGCTCAACTGAGAGACAGGGACAGAGCATTGCCACCCTGTAACATGAAGTGCCTGAACAATAACTTTCATGGTAGGATCACGAGATATTCTTTTAATGAAAGCTTCAGATTTCAAAAGATTAAACAGAACATGTTAACGCTCGCACAATTTTTTTTTACCTGGGTAAACATCTTTACTAGTCTGGTTCCTGAGTCCTGTTTAAAGCAGCTTGTGTTCACTTTACATGCAAAGTAAATGATAAGTGTTCTTATGTCTCAAACCACATATTATAATAAACAAGGAATGATTTGGCCTAAGGTTTCCACTTCGCAGATGTGAAGCAGCTGTTATACCTAACCCCATAGGCATAATTTTTTCAAATTCTCCCATTTTCTTCTATATGTTATTTACTTTTTATCACTTGGCAGATGGATTCTTCATTTATGCCCCGACATTTTAACCACAGATAATGACACACTGCTTGACATGGGTTTTAAATTGGCCACAGCAGCTGCTTATTTAAAATCCATTAGCATTAAATATATCAACATAGACAAGTGTTGCCAGGAGAGGGTCTAAACTAAGCTCTACCCTGGTCCTCAGTCACACCACCTCAAGGACAATTCTGAATTCAGTATGTATACTGCTTTTCCCCCAAAAGAACCAAGCCCCTGGTAGAACCAACAACAACCCATCAAAAGTAAAGTATCATACCACCAGATAGGCCCCCATTTTCTTAACAATTCCAAGTCTTCCACAGAACCCCAAAGACCCACTAACCCGCCAAGCTGCCATGACAAGGAAAAACACCACCGTAGTACGCTCTGCTGATGGGCAAATATTGGCAATCGGTGGGACAAATTCTCCAGCTGACTCTTTTAGAATGATCTCACAGCAGGACCACTATCCTTGTGACTCCTTCCTACCATCTGACCATGATTATCAATCTTGGTAACTCTTTCCTGGGGCTATTCATTCTCCTAATCATTTAGTCCCTCAGCGATTTAAAACTTACAAGCTGATCATTTGCCATTGAAAGCAGACATATAACATGGTTAACACCAGTAAAGCAAACCAATGCAAAATGAGTCCTTTATTTAAGAAAAAAAAATAGGACAGAAGACAACAGAAAACAACAGTACATAAATTACCATTATAATACATTGGCAAGCGATAACTAGAAGTCACACAGCTATTTGGGTGTGAAAGGAATATCTTGCCACGAAAGATTGCTTGAACATGCAACAGCTCATGAATTACATAAAGTATTGTATTTCAGCCATGACTGTTAGTGCACTAATTAAAAGTTACAACCTAATATAAAATTCACTTGACACTGGCATGTTGAATGATAATCTGCAGTTCCCTGCATCAAGCAATGTCATAGACCTCCTCACTCTAATCAGTTTATATTGTCAGATGCATTTCCCCAAGCAGCATATACTGACCTTCTGGTCACTCTACCATGGCTGGATTCCCCCCTCCCCGCTCCGATCCGCCAACGCTGAACGTCGGGT